ATTCAGAGGTTTCCAATGAAAGGCTTTAAACTGCCGAAACAGTAGTAGATGAAGAGTCAGAAGAGCAAGAGCAGCTGGAGTGTTGCAGAGATGATGAAGCAGGTATTGACATCAGTCCAGGAACAACCAGCAAATAACTACAGGTAAGTAGCTTTTTACTCTCTCTGCCTCTAATTTTCCATACTTCCTCAGACAAACGCAGGGCTGTGACCTCACGGACTGTGGCACTAACAAGATGCTTTTAAGACTCCTGACTTTCGCAGTGGATGTGTCTTTCCTGCTGGCACAAAACTGAGCTCTGTTCCAGAAGTGATCAGAAAGCTGCTAAAATAATACATTCCAAAGCTGTTGCTTCTCATACACAGAGCCTGGGCTGTTGTCCAGGTTGTTTACTCTTCAGCTATCGGTGGGTCACCTTCCTTCACGAGGTCCAGCAGCTTTGGGTCATGCCCCTTTGCCCCCCAGTGAACGGCCTGACTCCTTTCTTTCAGACTCAAAGAATAACAAAAATAAAGGTAAAACTCTTCGGTTTTCTGTCCCAAGGATGTGCTGGCTGCACCCTAATAAATTCTGTCACTTCAGTCCACCCGGGGACGTTCATTCCTGCAGCAGCACGTGGCCTGGTCTGGCCAGTGGGACAGCAAAGCATTTGATTACACCGTAAGTCTTACTAATTTAAACTGGCATTAAAAAGGTAATCATATGTTTATTCAAACATGGGGGTTTATGTAAACTAGACCCGCAGTGTTTTCAGTGTAAATACACAGAGCAACTTTGGAAGCTGAGCTGAGAGAGATCTCTCCAGAATTTCTCAGCAGAGGTAATTGGAATTTGGCACAAATAGCAAAACGTAGCTCTTGTTATATTGAAGAAACTGTAATTTTTATTCACTTGGGTATATCCTTGAGATTATACCTTGAGGAGCTGGTCTCAGCTGGCATACCATAGCATTCAAAAAACCCCCCTGTCAATATATTCTTAAACTATGTTTTCTTAGGAGCTTTCAAGTTCTAGAGAGCATCAGATAAAGACAGGTTGCTGGCAGGTCAGTACTCAAAATATTTAGGGCTTTATACGTCGTAGCAGTTCATAAAACTTTACCTGCAATCAGCACCTGGAGCACTCTTCAGAGGACAACAACAGTAATTTCCATATGGGCCACCATAAAATTAATAGCTATTACTTTAAATCAGTTGCTGCTTTAAAATAGTCTTCAGGGTCATTTACAGCAGGAGCCCATTTCTGGTTTGGAATTGGCCAAACTATGAGTCACAGCAAAACCAGTCCCCCTGCCCACATTACATTCTGGCTGCCTGTCAGCTCGGTGTCACCTCTCGTTTTCCTCTCCCTAAGCACCCTGGTTCTGTGTAGCCATTTGAGTGTGTGCAAATGAAGCCCAATTGCCACATCTGGGTGTTAAAAGTGATTTTTTTCTAAGCTTAGTTTCTCACACCCACAGTTTTTGACAACCAAATAAATATTTATTCACTACATTTGCAACAGTTTACTAGAAAAGCATAAAAAAAATACCTAACTATAAATGTACACGTTACATTAAAGTGCAGTAACAAGAAACAAAAAGTTATCTCACTTGCACAGAGCAGACGTGTAACTCCATGATCCCAACCCCCAGTGGCAGAGACACAGACACACGTCCCCGAGTCAGTACTTACCGCTGGAACACGGACGTGTTTGCATTCTCCAAAAAGCCCTCCCTTTAGGATTCCCAACCTCAAACAAGCTTTTCTTTGGGATGTGAAAGGTGCATACGTGAGTCTCTTTTGATTTTCATTTTGAAGTTTGATCGCTGGGTTGGGGAAATGTTTTAATTTCTTTTTAGAGAATGATTTGACATTGTCTAACACAGTTGTTTGGGTGGAATTTAATATTAATAAACAACCACAAGATCCATCCAGTCCTTCACATCACACCTTCACTCCATCTCGAGTCTCAGCTGGAGGGAACTGGCTGCTCTAGCAGCAGGTACTGGGAAAGACTTGCTGGGATGTATTTAAAGACTGGAGAAAAATAAAATCTAGAGATTGTGATTTTAACCAGATAGCTGCATCACTTTAACGTTTTTAGTTGCACTGAAATCTTGTAGGCTCCAAATAGCTACAAGATGTTTTATTTAGAATTTTTTAAAAAGCAAACTTATCTTTGTATAGGAAGAAGAAGGAAATGGTTTTAACTCTGCATTGCTCATTGTCTAGTAAACAGCCACACTGTCTCTGTTCTACTCTGCTGGGTATAGTGCATGTTTGATATATATAGATCAATACATACATATATAAATATATATATATGCATGCACATATACACCTTTATAGAGTCTCTGTGTGTTACAGGCATTTATACACACTCTCTCTCCTTGCATTAGGAAATTAAGAGCCGATGATTCATTACCTGATCAAACATACAATATTTTAACCATAAATCCTGTAGTACAGAATTTAAAGAATGTACGAAGATCTAAAAAGCTTTAAAAATTATGCCAGCCTGTACACTAAAGACCATTCATTAGTTTCAGAGAAATAACCTATGAAATCTTTCAACTGTTTTATATAATTGTACTTGGATTTTTTGCACTTGTGTTGTTAGATTGTTTCCCTCACAGAATTCTTAAATAGATGAATGAACTTTGTGTCTAAAGAAATTACATTTGTTCCAATTGTGTGTGATGCAAGAGCTAATCGTGATGCTGTTTTTGAGATGCTTGGCAGTTCAGTTGTATAATTACCTGCCTTTTCCCCTTTTCATCCCTTTTCTTTTTTCAAATCACAAAATTTTAACCAGATGAAGGATGAACAAAGGTTCATCGAGGTAGATGTCGCGTGGAACTGTTCTGCTTGTGGCCCCGAGCAGCTCGTGTCTCTTTAGTGGTGCTTTATGACTCCAACCGTGCGCATCCTCAATATGAAAGAGCACATCTCACAAACTGCTCTTCAGGGGATCTCAACGGTGTTTAGATTAAAGAAATACTGCACCAGAAATACCTGGAGGGGTTTAAAAGCAATTCCGTGTGAATTTACAGTAAGCAGAGTTAAATTAATAAGGAGCCAGGCTAGTTTTGCTGAGAGAGTGTTCCAATAGGATCCTCTCCTCCTGCGTGTGCCGCTTCCTGGCTGGTGTTCGAAGCCAGTGCTGAGAACCCAAGGACTCACTGCTTGCCTTTTCTTTTTTTATTCTTTTTTAACATCTTGGGGTAGGAAGGAGGTCTATAAAATAGAGGAACTCAATGTAAAAGCCTTTGGGACCGTGTCGGTGGGAGCAGTCGGTGTGTGCCTCAGCAGACTGTCCCGCAGCCATCCGGGCTGGGGCTCTGCCAGGCACGGAGACAGAGCCAGTCTCTTCCCGAGGGAATAAAGGCAGCTGAAGGAGAAGAGGAGTGGGCACACCTGAAGGGGCAGGATGGGAGCAGGGAGCTCAACTGCCTCCAGAACTCAGTTGTACTCCCAAGCCTCCCAGTTTTGACATTGCTCATCTCTGCGTTGCTGCTTCTTGTAAATAATGAAAATGGTAAAAGGTTTTACAGCCTGTGTGAAACTCCTTAGCAAATGAAATCCCAGCCCTTATTTCTCACAGTCGATGAGAGTCCTGTGGTTTGGCCTGTCCCGGGCAGGGGGTGTCTCCTGCTCTCACCAATACTCCAGTCCAGTGGTGGGTCTGTGCTGGAAATAGCACAGAGGACTGGCAGCCCTGCTCAGAGTAGCTCATCTCAGAGTAGAGGAAAAGAACGTGTATGGGCCAAGGAGGCACTTCCTGTGAACACTAGATTGACTTCAGACATTATTTATGATGTCTTGTGAAAATGTGTTTCCCTTGTCTCAGTAACTTCCTCTTCTGCCCCAACCACATAAAACTGTAACAAACGCTTCTTGTTTCCAGCTTAACCATAAGGGTATTACGTATGGAAAATGAAACAGTGCTGCTGGAAAGTCAGGATGATAAGCCCAAATTTTCAAGATGTCACAGCCTAGACAATTTGCAGATGGTTCAGAAACTTAAAATTGTGCCAAAACCTGAGGTCAAAGGAATAACCATGTAGTTCTGGGATAACAGGATGGCATTATTTAGCAAAGAAATCTGGTGATCAAAATCCACAGTAAGACAAAAATGGCTGTTTGAGAACCTGAATTCGCTTTTAGGAAGGTTTCTAGTTTTTGTTTTTTGAAACAGAACAGGGAACTCCAATCTGAAAGCTCTGTTCCAGGTTTCCATGTATCCCCTGAAGCAGGCTCCAGGGACAGGGAACTACTAGAAAGAGTCCAGTATGTATCCCCTGAAGCAGGCTCCAGGGATAGGGAACTACTAGAAAGAGTCCAGCGAAGGGCAACAAAGATGATTCAAGGATTGGAGCATCTCCCTTATGAGGAGAGACTGAGAGAGCTGGGACTCTTTAGTCTGGAGAAGAGAAGGCTGAGGGGAGACCTTATCAACGCCTACAAGTATCTCAAGGGAGGGTTGAAGGAGGAGGGAGCCAGACTCTTTTCAGTGGTTCCCAGTGAGAGGACGAGGGGCAACGGGCACAAGTTGGAACAGAAGAGGTTCCACTCAAATATGAGGAGAAACTTCTTCACGGTGAGGGTGACGGAGCCCTGGAACAGGCTGCCCAGGGAGGGTGTGGAGTCCCCTTCTTTGGAGATTTTCAAGACCCGCCTGGATGCTCCTGAGTAACATGCTCTAGCTCTAGGCAATCCTGCTTCAGCAGGGGAGTTGGACTAGATGATCTCTATGGTCCCTTCCAACTCTAGAAATTCAGTGAAAATTCAGTGAAATTCAGTGAAAATTCAGTGATATCAGAAGCTGATCTGTAGATTCCGTTTTCCTCTTGCCCTCTCATAGAGTGACCTTCTGGAGCCAGCATCTCGTGTTCCAGGTATCAACTGAGTCTTCAGCAAACCGGAGCTAAGCTCGGTGGCTGCAGTTCTCACAGCTAGGACGTGCCAGCGCAATTCCTGCCACTAAATTAATAAAAGGTTTTAAAGTAACGCGCTTTATGCCATAGAAAAATAAAACCGTTTATTCAGAGCAGCACCCATTTCTTTTTTAAAAAAAAAAGTCGTGATCCTAACTTTTCAATTTCTGTGCAAGGTTGTCCTAAGAATGCAAAACCCTTTTGAAGAAACTACCAGAATGGAAGCTGGTATCTAAGATCGTTCCGTTAGGGAATGGGTCATGGTTTTGGCACTTTGTTGGATTCACTGTATGTTTCTGTTAAAATGGTTGAGTATGAAACAACTAATGGTGTTACTTTTAAAAGGGATACATGGTTTTAAGGGATTAGGATCTCTCAGTTTGTGGGTTTTTTTTAGATTTTCAGTTATTAAGTGGAACAGTTTTGGCACCTGAAAGCCAATATTCCTTTGCTACTAACAAGAAATCTGTTACACTTAGTCTGTTTTGAGGATTGTGCTGCAGTCACAAAGCCTAGAGAGCTTTTTATAAATGTCTTTGAAAGGTGGGTAGTACGATTTTGTAGAAAAGATTGCATTTCTTGAATGTGTTTGGTGGAAAAAAAAAAAAAAAAAGTAGAATATCTTCCTTTCTTTTGTATTCAGTGTCCTCACAATGAATCTTTTCCCTTCCTACATTTCTTCAAGTGTGCATCGCTGCCTTGTCTGATCTGTTTCTTCTCCTTCCCCACACCGATGGCAGAGATGATTTAAAGACTGACCAGAGACTCCCTGTTCTGTTTGTGCAACGAGAAGCAGAGCCGACCCCATTCTCAACTGGTCCTTAGGCATTGCTGTCATAAATATCATCACCAGTTCTACTGTGTTTCCGCAGCCAGCAAGAACAGCACCTTCAATGTCCATGGATTAAGCAAAAAGACAGGGAAGTGGGGTAAACCGAGCAAAAAAAAAAAAAAAATTAAAGACCTTCCTATGTTGCATTTTAAAGATGGCTAAGGTTTTGAAATAGTCCAGTCCCTTCCCTAAGTCTACCCACTCTATTTTATAGGTCATCTGGAAACTTACACTGTTTCTTTTATATACAAAACGGACAGTCTTTCAGAAAATTCTACTAAACCTATTATCTGTCTTCTCCATGTTACTCGTAGGATTATGTAGTATTTTTCAGTGCTGCAGGGAAACTGTGCTGAAAACTGGGGATGTAAAAGTAGGCTGACTTGGTTTGCTTGTGGTCTGCCAGGATCCATTCTGCTCATTTTATTATTATTTTTTTTGTAGTACTACCTGGGAATACCACTTGCGTGATCTGCTGAGGACAGGATCTGTAATGTGCCTTCCCACATACAGTATTTCCGGATGATAATTACAAAGATTACAGTTTTTGACAAAACTCAGAAATACATTTACATAAATCAAAGTAACAGATATCAAAATTAAATTAGGGCTGAGCCAATTAATCTAAAAATCTAAAAAAGTAAGAAATTCAAAAACCTAATGGAGACCTTTAAGTTCCTGAGATTTTTCTCCATCTCAAACTTTCCCCTTCACAAAGAACACAGAAAGGGAAATTATATTTAGCCGCACAGCAAGCACAGCGATTTCACCACTATTGTCTGAAAACACACATATGATTCCACTTTTCTTAAAAAATACTTCTTCCTATATCTCTTCCAAGTGAGCTGTTTCTGGTGATGCGTAGCAAGACTCTACTTGTGTTTATAAAAGCTTCTTAAGTTTACATAAAAAGTATAACCACGATACTCCACCTTTTACTGTTAAAGCTAATTTTCCGATAAAAGGTTGTCTAGCACATCGGCTTCCAGAGACGCCTGATGAGCTAAACGGCCTCCAGTTAATAAAGCAGATGGCCCAGCCCTAAACTAGTTCTATTTCTAAAATAAATAGTGTTGAAAAAAATCTTTCTTTTCTAAACACTTTGTCGGTGTCCTGTCAGGCTCACACACACGTTTCTGGGTTAGTTACAACTTCACCATTTTTTTCAGGCTCATCTTTCAGAAACTGCTCCACTTCAATAGAGTCCACCTTGGCATCTTCAGGAGTTTTGTCTTCAGATTTGTTTAATTCCTCTCTTTCTGCTGCTTCATCTTTTGTATGTGGTTCTTCTGGTTTTTTCTTAATGCAGAAGAAATTTCCCAAGGCCAATACGAGTGCTGAGGTGGTAACTTCAATTCCAGCAATAATAAAAACGAACATGTACCTTCCTGTTGCATCCAAGAGTTTTCCTGAAAAAGACAACATTACAGGTCATTAACAAAAGTTACTGTCTTGCAATGGATTTTTTCCTGCTTTCTTACAACATTTAAATGACTGTCTAGAAGTACCATGATGATCTAAGCAAGGTTTTTAGTAGACATAGTAGTAGAAATAGTATTTTAACAAGTTTATAATGATGTATTTCTTAATTATTTCGATTCAGTTTAGCATTCACTGACATTATGTCACATCCCAAACCACACACTTCCCTGCACAACACAGACAAATGCTGTGTGTTTCAGATCAAAATGCACAGAGTCATGCAATTCAACTGAAATAAACCCAGCCTTTCCTTCATACGCAAGAGCTGAGACAAATGCTGTGTGTTTCAGATCAAAATGTGTGCAACAATGGCAGGGATCTGTATCATCCGCGTCCTCTCGCTCCCTATCTCATTTCCCTCATATCTATCTCCTTACACAGGCAGTGCCCTGTCTGCTTAACATGCAAATCTTATTTCATAGGAAGTCTGAAGTCTGATTCTGACACTTTGGTGGTGAGGTGGAGGTGAAAGAGCAGGAAGGGAGGCTGTGAAAGACGCGCCTCTCCAAACCTGGAGATGGAAGGAAGTTGTGCATGGGACTGTTTTTTCCATGAGGGGGTTCTGTCACAATAAAGATACTTGATGCTTTTAGTGTCTGGTATAAATAGTAAACATTTTATGGCAGTGAACTGGTGGGTTTGGGGTGGGTTGTGTTTTCTTTCAATTCAGGGTCTGTAAAATTTATGTTCTTTGATTAGTAATCAATTTGCAATTTTTAATTCAAATTAATGAATTTGAATATTTTGTAATGTCCCCTTATTCTTGGGTTGTGAGATGTGCAATTTCCTTAAAACAGGCCAGTTTGTAAGATTTTTTTTTTCCTCCTTTTTCTGATGTTTTCTTTTCTCCTCCAAATCTGCCGTAGATATAGAGAATCTTATAGTCCTCCTTGTAAGATTTTTTTTTTTCCTCCTTTTTCTGATGTTTTCTTTTCTCCTCCAAATCTGCCGTAGATATAGAGAATCTATCCTAGTACTTCCATAGTACTGTAGAGAATCTATCCTAGTACTTCCCCAAGAAAATTGACAGGTTTCATATTCTCAATCCCAACTCCAAAGAGGTCTGAACTTCACAGTGTGTGTAAAACCCGTCTCATAGGATATTAGCCATCTACTAATAAGAGACCCAGTGCAGGCTTTCAGTGGAGGAAGAGCATGATCTCCAGATGGCAATTCAACCAATCCTGAAAGAGATCCAAGAAGGGAAAGATTCATTCCACCCTGTCTTGAACCATTTCAGATTGTAACTGCTGAAAGTCACTGAAGCCTGTGCTCCGCTAGCACAATATGCACTTCTCGAGTGACTCGTGTTGGCTTTTTCCTCTGCTCCCTTATCATACAATTTGTGTACACGGCTGCCATGCAAATGGTTTTGAATTCTGAACTAAAGGGAATACTTACCCGCTGATGGTGGACCAATAAGAACAGCCATCGCTTCCGCCAGGAGAACTAAACCGATAGCACTGGAAAACTTCTGAGTCCCAACAATAGCCATGAGAACTTCAAACTGAAGAGCGCCTACCATTCCGTAAGAAATGCCAAAGAAAATGCAAAAGACCACCAGGCCAGCATAATCGACAGACATAGAACCCATGAGATCTGTAAAACCATTGAAAATCATAGCAAAACTGAAGAGGTAGACACAGCGCGGTCTAACCCATTTAAGCCCAGCTACCATTCCACAAATAGGCCGAGCAAAGATATCAATGAATCCCAGAATAGTCAGAAGAAAAGCTGCTTTGGTGTCTTGATACCCTAAATCCTTGGCATAGCTCACAACAAAAACTGGGGGAACAAAGAGGCCGAGCACCATGATGGATGCTGCTAGCGTGTAGATGACAAAACCACCGTCTTTAAACACACTGAAATCCAGCAGTTTTTTCTTTGCTTTCTTCTCAGTTGATTCTTTGGTAGCTTCAGACGTTTTGGGTGGCTCCAAAGGTCTCATTAAAGCTCCACACACGCAGCAGTTGAGCAGCATCCCACCCAGTATAAGGAATCCTCCTCTCCAGCCATACTCGTGTTGTAGTATCTGCCCCAGCGGTGAGAGAGCACAAAGAAAGACCGGGCTCCCAGCCGCGGACAGCCCGTTGGCTAAGGGACGGCGTTTGTCAAAGTAACGGTTTAACATGATCAGGGAAGGCTGAAAGTTTAGTGCCAGACCCAAACCTGTAACAGAGGGTACAGAAAAATTGATACTTGCCTCCAGTATCACTATTAAAAAAATTCTGATTACAGTTTTTCTGATTCATGACTTCAAAGAGTTCTATTTCAAGTGGATAAAACAATTCTAAGATAACATTTGTACAAGCGTCCCACCTCCATGATATTCTTGTGCTCTACGGTTACTCTCACTGATTACAGCAGCAGCTATTAAACATACCAGAAAAATTAACGTTCATGAAAAAACAAACAAATTTATTCCCCATTTACCTGTCATCTTTATAAAAGCCCATTTAGATGGTCTTGATAATTTAGATATTTGTCGCTTGTACCAAGCTTCAACCTAAAGCTAAGAATAGGCTAATTCATCTTCAGCCAGGCACACTACTCACCAGTGATCACACCCGCCGTTAGGTAGATCTGAACGATGCTCGTGCAGAAGGAGGCGATCACCATCCCCATGGAGGCAAAAAGGCCACCCACCAGCATGACAGGGCGGCAGCCGAAGCGATTGACGCACACGCTACAGAGCGGACCTGGGCAAGAAGAGCAGGTTACAGTTGCTAAGATAAACTAATTTTTGCAATTGGTTTTATGTCAATTTGCATTTCTTTGGTGGATTTGGCTGCGTTAGATTTACGGTTGGACTCGATGATCTTAAAGGTCTTTTCCAACCCAAATGAGTCTATGATTCTATCTGTACTTTGTCCATACTGTCAGGCCAATCCGGAAGAGTGTTCTTGCCTCTACAGGCAAATACTTAATCTTTTTCATCTTCAGAGTGCCCTGCAATTTTTCTTGTTCATTGTCTTGAATAGCTACTGAGTTACAAACTTAATTTTATATGCAAGCGGGATATGGTTAAATAACTTTTGGATTTATGTGATTAACTGTAATTCTTTGGAATGCCTTACTTGCACACAAGTAATGATACGCAGTCATGACTCACACTGGAAACGGCTGTGTGATTTACAAACATAACTGTATGATGCAACACTGTTTCAAAACCAAAGAACCGCCTACCTGTTCCATAAAGCATGGCCAACAGAATGGAGGAAATCCATGCAGTGTCACTATATCCGATGCCAAATTCCCGGATCAGTTCTTTAAAGAAGACACTAACTGCCTTAGGAAAGGCATAGGAGAATCCTGTGATGATGAAACAGCCAAAAAGGACAGCCCAGCCCCAGCCTCCGTCAGGGGCTTTGACACCAGATGGACCATCATCAGCTACGACAGCTCCCATGATGAAGCTCTACAGTGTTCCCTAAGAAACAAAAATCAATTACAGTCTATAGACATTGGTACAATTATCTCACTAAAAAAAAGGCAGAAATTGCATTACAGTTAAAGTTACAAATAAGATACGGGACTGTTATAAATACAAATTTTGAAGATGCAGTGCAATTTTAACTATTCCTTGTTTGGGTTTAGTCCTTACAAAGCATGTGAAAAATACCAAAAAAAAAAAAGAGATGCACACAGTTGAGTTTGAAATGAATGTCCCCTCACGGCTCTCTCAAAGTCAGAACTGGATTTGAACCAAATCGCTGTTTCACACAAAAACTGGAGCCTTTACAGCAGGTCAGGGGTGTGTTTGACTCAGAAATATGCAGTAACTACTGCATTAAAGTCTGCAGGATTTTTGTTACACCACCTTTTTATATAAAGCTCCTGGATGACTCTCTATTCACTTCAGGAGACCTGGATGCCAAATCCTGGTGCATCACATTCTCTGAGGAACAGCAGATGAATCACCCAGGCTCCTTTTTTCCCTGCTGAGAACAGCAACACAGCCCTGATGCACCCCTATCTCGAAAAGATTGATCCCTTTGAGCTTCTGATGAGCTATGGGTGCGCATGGCACCAGTAGCTCTGCAATATCAATGATAACAGGGAAAATGCTGATTCAAACCGTTCGGCTCCCATGTATGAACAACATGAAGACAAAGGAGCCCAGGGGCAGGAGAAAATCCCACTATTTCTGAATTGTCAGACACATTTCATGGAATCATGGAATTGTTGGAGTTGGATGAGACCTCTAGAGACCATCCAGTCCAACTCCCCTGCCAAAGCAGGGTTGCCCAGAGCACATCACTCAGGAGCATCCAGGTGGGGCTTGAAGATCTCCAGAGAAGGGGACTCCACACCCTCCCTTGGCAGCCTCTGCCAGGGCTCTGCCACCCTCACCCCAAAGAAGTTCTTCCTCAGATTGGAGTGGAACATCCCATGTTCCAGCTTGTGCCCGTTGCCCCTCGTCCTGTCACTGGGAACCACTGAAAAGAGTCCAGCTCCATCCTCCCTCAAACCACCCTTTGGATACTTGTCAGCATTAATAAGGTCTCCCCTCAGCCTTCTTTTCTCCAGGCTAAAGAGCCCCAGCTCTCTCAGCCTTTCCTCACCAGGGAGATGCTCCAACCCCTTAATCATCTTTGTTGCCCTACGCTGGAATCTCCAGCAGTTCCCTGTCTCTCTTGAACTGGGGAGCCCAGCACTGGACGCAGGATTCCAGTTGTGGCCTCCCCAGTGCAGAGCAGAGGGGGAGAATGACCTCCCTCCACCTACTGACCACACTCTTCCCTACGCAGCCCAAGATCCCATTGTCCCTCTTGGCTATAAGAGTACATGGCTGGCTCATGGAATCCACCAGGACCCCCAGATCCTTCTCCTCACAAGTTGGGGGAAGGGTTGTGTGGTTCTTACTCTTTTGTATTAACTGTCCAGTGGCGAAACAAAGCCGGTAGCAATAGGTGAGGCGGGAACAGCCACCCCCCGGAGGACACGGCTGAGGGGGCTCCTCCCGCGGCCGGGACCCTCTCCCTGAGGCGCTGTGGGGGCAGCCCCCGAGACCCGCAATGCCGGGCACCCCCCGCCATCTCCGCTGCCTTCTGAGGCGAGTCACCGCTCGGAGCTCCTCGGCCAAGCGCTTCTTCCTTCACAAAAGAACCCCTCCGAGCTTCGGGCCCCGCAGCCGCCGCACCGAGCCCGATGCCCAACGCCCCCCAGAGCCGCTCCCGCCTTGCCGTGCAGCGCCTGTGGCTCCCTGTAGGCCACGCTGGGCTTGTTGCCCCCCCGCCCCAGTGCTGGCCGCGCCGCGGGGGGGGGGGGGGTGGGGGGGGGGTGTCCCTCCGAGGGGCTGCGCCCCGGAAGAGCGGGGCTTGCGGGTGTCGGGGAAACCGGCCGGTTCCCGGCGCTACGAACATCCCTTCGCTCTCCTTCACCTCATCTCTAGGGAGATCGCGTTTTGGCCCCAAATCAGCCTAAAACCAACACCCGGGCCCTTCCGACGCCATCCTCTGCGGACGGGTCTGCACGCGCGCAGGCGGACATCGGTCCCCGTCCCCCCCCCTCCGCCCCCCGCCGAGGGACCGGGGCCACGGCAGCGGGAAAAGAGCATCAACCGGAACCAACGGGCGCAGCAAAAGATGCTCTTCCCCCGCCGTGCCCTGCCAGGGGGAGACTCGCCCACCGTCCCTCCCGGGTGAGCTCCCGCTGGACCCGCATCGGCGACATTTTCCTCCGGTGAAGCCTCCGAGAGAGGAGGGAACCCCCCCGACCATCGCCAGCCGGGAGGGAAAGGGTTACATCCCTCCCCCGTCCCCACGGCAAACGGGATGCCACCCTTGGGATTTGTTCCAGATTCCTCCCATTCCCAACGGGTTCTTGCCCCCCGTTTTGGGGATGTGTAAAACAAAAGGGCGCAAATGTAGTTAAATCTGCGGGGATTCACGCTCCCGAGATTATCCTCCTGTTGCCATGGAAACTAATACAGGATCAGTTGGGAGGAAATATGAGGTGATGGTAGGTAGCGTTGAGGGTGGTGTGTTTGGTGTGACAGTGCAGTGGACACAACAGGAGAGCGTTTGTGTCCTAAAAAGGAGCAGCTAGAAGTTGCAGGAATCTAATATCTGTGGTTTAGCTACTACCCTCACTGGCCTTTTAGGAAGGACATGCATGAGTGAATATGCAGCCTGACCTATATATGGCAGACATCTGCCCAGCCTCGAATTCCTCGGATAGAAATAAATGATGGTTATCAAAAATAAAACATGAACTTTCCTGTAGGGAACCCAGTTCAGGCTGGAATTCAGTCCGGAACCCCACTAGGTTGAGAATGGTACAATCACAAAATGAGGGAGACGGTCTAAGCTGAGCAATCACAGAATCCTAGAATAGTTAGAGTTGGAAGGGACCTTAAAGATCATCTAGTTCCAACCTCCTGCCCCAACCTCCCACCAGGTTGCCCAAAGCCCTCTCCAACCTGGCCTTGAACCCCTCCAGGGATGGGGGCTACAACTTCCCTGGGCAACCTGTTCCAGTGCCTCACCACCCTCACAGCAAAGAATTTCTTTCTGCAGAGATCCTCCTTTGGTTTCTTCTCCGTGGAATGAGGAGGACGCTCACACTGTCCTCACGGGGTGTTGGGAGAACGGATGCGCTGAAAAGCACGGAGTGCTCAGTGCTGTGTCAACAGGAATCAGAAACCTCCTATATTTGCCCAAGGGTATTAAAATCTAAGCAGACCAAACAAAAGATAGATGTTATTCTTGGTTTTGAGTGAAGAGCCCTAAGACTAACCAACTCTACTGAAATTTTGTAGGAAATGACCCTTGCAAGAATAATTTTATTCTAATATCCTCCAGACCCTGGTTATAGCCCTCTGCATCTAAACCAACTATCCTTTGCATCGACATCACCGACATCTGCCTTTTCAGCATGACTTCAGCTCTTTCCTGATGCTGTAAAGCACTAATGCACACAGCTTTAATTCAAATGTTATTTATTACAACTCATTCCTAGGTCTGTCACACAAGCCATTTTGATGGGCCACCGGTATGACACAGTAGTGCGTTTCTTGTGGCTTACCGGCTTAAATAGCAGGCAATTGAACTACACATTAATTTCCAACGGCTGCTGCAAACTCCTGCTGCCTACAAAATCATTGCTGCGTTTAGCAACGCCTGCCCTGACTGCCCATCCTCCCCGCCAGGCCCTGCAGGGACTTTCACTCTCCCATTTTGGCCTCCTCCGTTTTATCAGAGACAGTTTTCCAGTCCCCGCTGCCTCTGTGTTTCGTAAGGGTTTGCCAGCTTCCACCAGTCTCTCTTATCTCTCTCTCAAAACTCCTAGGACAAACCCCACCGCAGTTCCGTGCTGTCTGGAGCTGTGGGTGATGTTCCACACCAACACTTAGTACTAATCAATCTCGAATCTCCCCTCAGCCTCAAACCATTTCAGCATCCAGTAATGTCCATGGTAGTTACCAGCAGACAGCAATGGCACAGCAAATCCACGCGGCAGTTTTCTGTGTGGCAAATATTACTATTCACCAGCGTGGAGTCTATTATCCGGGTAAAGTGCTCTATGGGGGAAGTTGCACTTGTTCTTTTTTATGTAATTAAAACCTTAGAACCTTATTCTTTACATTATCTGAGAGAATCAGATTATATTATTGGTTTCTTAGTTGTTTTTATTTTATTTTTCCATAATGAGCATGTTACCAACAAGTGCCCCTAACTTACACTGCGCCATAAGCAAAAGAATAACCCTCAGCTCTGCATGATAACTTCACGTTTAAAGAAGTATTACCGTGGCTTTCTTCTTAACAAGGAACTGCTCTTTTAATCTTGAGATAAATACTTGCATAAATATTTTCATTAATCACAAATACAACAGTAGCTAACAGTTCCATCTTCTCAGGTCCTACCTTTGAAACAAATACACTACTTCTATAACAGCAGCATTGTCCTCCCTGCTTACTGTCTTTATAACAAATGCCCAATTTCTGGAGAAGTGGACTTATTTTTCTAAAGCCTACAGGGTTGTTTTTTTACCCCACAGCCATTACCATAAACGCATTAATGTCAGCATCACAGCTGCACCATAAGACTAGACAACATATGCCCTTTCTACGTGCACAGGAGAAGCGACAACCCTGCTGCCAGTCGCACCCGAATTATCTGGCTGCTTTCCCTAACGCTCTCAAAAATAGAAGTTGCAGAATCCCAACTTCAGTCGAATACTTATGATTCGTGTATAATGGAAATTAATGTCAGCCCTGCAGCTCTGCTGGCTTTGCAATGTGTCTGAGCTTTAGACCAAAAAAAATAGAAATTCTTGCCAATTGTTTATGGTAGAAAAGTGACCTTATTTTGTTTAGTATAAAACCAAGAAGCGACAGGGCGAGATGAGTATTAATTAAGGGTCCTGTCCTGTCACTGGCTGGACATATGAGCTTATCTTTGTGGAATATCATGGATCCACCCCAATACAAAAAGTGCTGGCACGGATATCTCCTGTGTCCCACACGAGGTTGGCACCCGCAGCTGAACACAGCGGGGAAAAGACCGTCTTGGCCAAGAGATGTCATTTTACACCATCACTTCGGAGGGGGAAGCTGCACGACATGGTGTCATCCATCCAGATCTGGGAGTCCCCACTTCAGCCACCATTGGAAATGTCAACTTAACATTCCTGCCGTTCCCCTCGGTGGGACTGAACCCCAACAGGTGTGACGCTGCGCAAACACATTCCGCTCGAAGTGAAACCACCGTCGGGCCCCGCCTTAACAAACCCCCGCTCCCTCGGAAATAAATATTATAAAACCCTGCGTGACTTCACCCTCCGACACCCTCAACTGAACGGTTTTCCCACTCGCTTTACGCCAAAAACATCCTCAAAGCCGCCGGGGACGGGCGCCTTCCCGCTGCCGGTGCTCACGGGCCGGGCCGGTGAGGAAGTTGTGTCCCCGCCGTCCACCCCCACCTCCGCCCGCGGCTGCTTTTCGCCACAGAACGGACAGAATAAAGCAAAGCCGGAGCCCCCCTTCCCGGCGGGTCCCGAGCGGCACCAACGACGGGCTCTTCCCCCGCCGGGGCGGCCCCGCGGGG